CAGCCCCCGACGACCCCGGCGACGGCGGTGGATTCCCGTCCCCGTCGTGCGGAGCGGCTGCAGCAGGCCTCTCGTGGAGGCGCGTCCACACGATCCACCAGCCTCTGTTCGTCTTGTGGGTCCTCTCCAACTCGGCCTCCCTCGACCTCGTGGACGCGTGGGTGTTGAGCAGGTGCAGGTGCGTGCTGACGGCGTCTGCGCGCGACCACCACGTGTCCGACGCGGAGGACTCGGGTATATTGGGAACCGTCGAGTGGGTGACGAGCTGCTTGGGGTCCCAGACGAGGCTATATATGGTCCTTGCGGCGGGCGACTCGCGCTCCCGCTCGGGGCGGTAGCTCGTGGACGACAGGAGCGGCTTCTTCAGCGGCGCGAGCTGGTAGTGTAGCGAGCGGTAGAGCGCGTCCCAGGCCAGCGAGTCCGTGTGCAGCCTGAAGAAGAAGGTGAATATGAAGGGGCGGTTGACGTAGACTACCACGCGGAGCTTTTCCGACTTGTTCAGGTCGTGCGACGTGTAGCCGGGGAGGAAGTTGCCTGCGACTTGGGACTGGGTCAGGGGGCTGGCGGGGTGGGCAAAGTCCCTGATGATCGTGGTAGAGGGCTGGGGGGAGGATTTGGAGTCCAGCTCGATGTTGATGGTGCGCAGGAGCGTGCGCGAGTTGTTGTGCGTGGAGGATGCGGATGAGGATTCGCTGTCCGAGGGCGGCTCCGAGATGCTGCCCTTGAGGCCGATGAGGTAGTGGCCATGGGCGGCGTCGGATGATGAGCGTTTGGGGAATTTGGGGCGCGATGTCGAGGTTGTTGGTGTGTCGTTGGGTTTGGATGTGTTGGTTTCGGAGGGGGTTGGGGTGCCGGATTGCGTCGTCGGCGTGTTGATGTTGCTTGTGCCGGGAATGGTCCAGTATGAGCCGTAGCCCAGCTTTATGTAGCTGAGCATCTTGTCGAGTTTGCCGTCCTCGGGTGCCTTGGGCGAAGATGTCGAGTCACCTTTGTCGGGGTCGGCTGCTGACTCTTGGGACAGTTGTTCTTGGGGATGCTGGTGGTCCTTCCCTTTCTGCTGTTCCTTTGGTTGCTGGTGATTTTGATGCTCCGGTTCCTTGTGCTGTTCGGTTTGATTCTGCCCCGTCTGCTTCTGGTGCTTCTTGTCTGCGTTTGCTGGAGCAGTCTCCTTTGCAGCCTCGGTCTGCTCAACAGACCCTCGCCGCTTCCTCGCCCTCCTCCCTCTCGTCGAGGTAGGACTGTCAATAACGCCGTAGGCATGATCCCCCCACTGATACAAATCCTCCATCCAATGCGTCACATCCCTCAGCGACTTCCTGCTCAACGCGCCTGTGCCCAAGAATACCGCGCCGTCCTCGGCAGCAGGTTCCTCGCCCGTCCCCAACCAGAGCTGGGCGTCGAGACGGTCCCTATGCGTCTTGGCCTCGTCCTCTGGTTCCTCGGTGCCAAACTTGGATACGACAAGATCGACTAGGCCTTCTATCCTGCCGACCAGCCCCTCCAACACCTCGCGCTCGCCGCTGCCCCTGTCCTCCTCGCCCACGCCGACGCCAAGTTCTCCAGAGGCTGCGATGTTGATGCCGCCAAAAATGTTGCGCGCCGGGTTCCCGTGAAGCATGACATTCCACGTAGATAGGAACAGGTCCCAGTAGCGGCTGAGCACGGCGGTGAATTTGGTGCGCTTGCTGCGCACGAACAAGGCGCTGAGGGATGTGTCGTGGTGCAGGAGGAAGATGCTATGCGCGCGCAGGAGGTCTCGTAGAAGCAGTGGTGCCGGCTTCAGTTCCCTGCTGGAGTATTCGTATCTCTCCTCCTGCGGTTCGGTAGTAGATCTGATGGCAAGGCGTGGCGGAAGAGGGACCTTTGTGAGGTTGATGCTCTGTCAAAAATCGTTTCAGTTGGGGCTCGGTCACTTGATGGAGATGATTTTTTTTTTTTTCCTGGGACACTTGACGAGAGGGCCTTCAGTTATTCTTACCGCGAGAATCCACCATCCCGGTTCCAGCTCATGAGTAATAACCCTCGACTTCTCTGTGTCGACGGTGTCCAGCGATGCCTCATCTGCAAAGCCGCGACTGAAGTTGATCATGCCCTGCGCAAGGCCAATCTGGCGCAGACGCTCGTGCCGCTCCTCCTGGGAAATGTCTTCTGTGGGACGTCCCCGTGTGCGCCGCCGCCTCTTGCCCGATCCCTGCGTAGTATCCGACGCATAGTAGACGATTTGATCGTCGATGGTGTCGTCCGTGCTACCCAGGGAAGGATTGAATATGGCAAGGAAGCCAAGCTGCGCTGGGACGAGGGTGCCCGCTGCCGCCACAGCGGTGGACGCCATGACGAGTGCTCGCGAGCGGTCAAGCGATGGCGGCGCAGAGAGGCTTCAACGATGCTTAGATGGGACTACTCAGACACATGCTTGAGGGAGTCGATTTAAGAGGAATATGCGTGGGTATCGGCAATAATCAAACCAAAGCACACGCGACAGTGTTGTTGTAGGTGGGCAGTGGGGAAGCTGTCGTTGCAACTTGGAGGCCGCATGTGGAGCAAAACGACTGCCGAAAAACGATGGAGATCTGGAGGGGCCGTTGCGGCATGACGCTGGCGAGGAGCCAACACGCCTCACCCGAGACGGGTAGATCAGTTCATATGTTGCGTCTAGAAGCTACTCACTTGGTGTCGTAAAGGCACAATTCTCGATTATAAATTATAACCACAGCACGGAATACCTCACCTTACCAGCTGTGGGCCCCCCAAGTCGATAGTCATCCTCGTCCTGGACAGTTTCCTATCTTCCGCCTCGTCCAAGCTCTCTGGCATCATGGGCCTGTCAAGCCGTAAATCGCCTTTTCCACGCATTTGATCTTTAACCGTGTTATCCCGCTCGCGTTTCTGGAACGCCAGCCACACAAAGTACAAGGCAAAAGTCAAAACCGTCAGCGGTATCGTTATCGCCCAGTACAGACTCATCTGGGGAGTGGGCCTCACCCCGATGGAACCCGACCGTACATCTACACCGGCCCATTCGAAGCAATTCGTTGAGAAGAGTGCTGATATGAAGCTTCCGGGGAGGAAGAACATGGTCACGACGGCAAGCGTTTTCATGGACCCGGCATCACGGTAGCTAAAGAAGGCAATCTGTTCCGTAGATCGGGAGAGTTCAAGGTTGAAGTTGGCGTGGTACTGCTGGATGATGTTGAAGAGCTAATCGAATGTATTAACGAAAATGCGGTTTTTTTTTTTGTTTTTTTTTTTTTTTTTTTGGGGGGGGAAGAAGGGGGTGGGGCAAAGGTTGATAAACTTACGGCATCGCTCTGGACTTGCACCCGCTTCAGAGTGTACTCTATATCTGTAACTTGCATCTCCTGCCTGTCCTGTAGCACCGAGACATGACACTTAAGAACCGAGGACGCTGTTGGGCTCTCGTTGGCGCCTCGGGAGCAGCATCTCGCAGCAGGTCCTGGTGCCCAATTTCAGACTCCTCAAGCGTCTTCTTCATAAAAGACAACAGTTTCTCCAGCACCCTTGACTTTCTCGACGTGCTTGCGAGCTTGGAGGCACTGCCACTTGTCTTGGCCAGCAACTCGTCCAAATCTCCCTCGGAGCGCTTCTCGCCCTGCCGACTCGCAAATTTGTGATAGCCCGTCCGCTTCTCCACGCCACGAACGTCGTTTTTTATGGCGGCAGTGGTCAGGTCAATCTGGCCCCCAATCACAAGTGCCAGCAGAAGCGAGGGAAACATGGGGTTCCTGTACACGCCGAGACTCCATTGTCCCAGGAGGGCTTTCTGCAAAGCCTTCTTCTCCTCTTCCTGGACACAGAAGATGCCCTGCGTGAGGGTGCCTCCCGGCTCCCCGTTCTTTGGCGGTCTGTATGCCCAGACGGCTGCTATTTTGGGGGGTAAGCAGAAACAAAATGATTGACACTGCGCATTCTCCCCGTGGACATGGCTCGGAAGGGCTGCAGTGCCCGAGACACAACTGCGCGCGTAGCCATAGGCAAGGTTCAGTCCAAAAGCATTGACTAGAAGGCTGGTCGTCTTCTCTGATTGCCGGATGACCTTGTCCGAGAGATCGACGTCAATCCAGGCCATGCGGACGATGAGGGTTTGTGCGTCGCCCTCGGCGCCAGACGACGTCTCCTGGGCGAGCCATCCGTGCACATTGACGGGATCAATCTTGTTGGTCAGTGTGGTGACCGTGCCCGTGCTGCCATTCTGCCAGAGCTCAGTCACCTGGAAGCTTGTCTCCGGCCCGTAGCCTCGTCCCCAGTGGTCCAGCGAGCTGAGGTTGCGATAAATGTCCTCCATGGCAACACGACAGCCCACGCCGGCAGAGAGGGGCAAGGGGGCGTTTACTCTCAATGCGGGTTGAGGGCAAGGCGCACTTGCTGCTCAGGGCGTTCAACAGACGGCAGGACGAGCAGGGCGAGTAGGTGATACACTGATATCAAACGTGGGAAGGCCGGTTGACCGCCATGCCCGAAATAGATTCAATAGAGCGAGGTTGCACCCGTCGAGGGGAGGGCAACTTAAAATATCTCGGGCGAAAAAAAATGATGGCGTTCTGCAAGCTTGCATAATGGCAGGTCGTACGGCGGGCAGCTACAGAGTAGTAGTTGACATCTCGCATTAATTGATGGTTGCATCGCAATACTCGAAGCAGCCAGCTGCCAACATGGTCAGCTGAAGGCGGCCGAGTTTAGAGGAGGCGGGAAGAGCCGTCCATGCAGTCGACATGGAGAGAAGGAAAACATTGAAGAGCGGGGAATAGAGATAGCCTCGTATCATGACATGACAGCGAATGGTAACACGGCGAGCCGATTGTCACCTCTGGCGCTGATGGCTTGAAAGAGCGAGCAATCAATTGAGCGCCACTTTTGATGCGGGAACGCAGACTCGAGGGTTTCGCATTACAAAGAAACGATGCTGTGCCACGCCGTTGATGGGTTAATCGATTCTCTCTCTCCCCCTCGTGAGTCGTGAGAACAGACTGACAGTTTCGAAGCTGGGCAACGGGCCGAGAGGCAACACGCGCCACCAGCAAGTGTCCGGTATACAAAGACATGATGGCGGATTTCCCATAGTCTTATTTCGGTTTATACGAGAACAAGGCTGCGGTGGCTGGCGAAGCAAACAACCACCACCACCACCAACAACTGCCTCGAGTGTGGCGCCCGTCTTACTTTGAACAACTCCTCTTTCCAAGATGACATCTATCCGGAGCTTATCAAACTTCAATTACTCAAAAGTCTCCGGGAAATGAGTGGCTTTTTGGACAAATAATCACACACGCAGTATCACCTCGGCCAGCTGTTGTTTCCCGATGCCCTTAAAAACGTCCTGACGAGTTACACAGAGTAACCAGGCTGTTGTGACAACAACACAACTTTAGACCATGAAGCTGTGCAACCCAGAGTCGATAAATGACATTTTGTGACTTTTCAGTACAGATGAGGCTCTGTGGCTTCAGTTGGGGGGTGGTTGATGGCTGGGAAACCCGAGAACGAAGGCTGTTTTTATTTTATTGGTTGTTTTTTATAAATATGTTCTCGTTGAATAGGGAGCTTGACGCATGTTCTCGCAGCAAGCAGCTGCTTTCTCCCTCACCGATGCTTGGCATTCCTCGGACAAACAGAGACATATTCTGCCGAACCTTTATGAGCGCAATTGCCGCCGTCTTGTCCATCACAAGAGCCCTTTGCTACTGTGTTTGTGTTGTGACGGGGAGTACGAACCAGTGTTATTTACCGACAAAGGTTGGACATTTACGCCTTTGACCAGTCTGTCAATCGCAGATATCTACCGAGGCAGGCCAAAATGTCTTGTGAGTGATCTCGACCCCTATCGAGGCCGCACTGTCACCGCTAACATGGCAATTCACATCGTCAGTTGGTCATTTTCAAAAGTCGAGGCAGGCACATCACCTCTCGGACGCCGTCAACCAGTTAATCACGAGGCGCATCAGACCTGTCCGGGCGTTTGCCGCAGGCCGCAATGATCTCCGTCGTGACGAGGAAAGCCAACATGAACTCCCTACCTCTGCTCCAGACCCCAAGCTGCAAAGGACCTCGTCCATTCACGAGATTTTTCACTCTCATTCCCAGGAGGACCATGAAAAGGGCGAGGTCGGTATTGTCCACGACATAGTCGAGGAGTCGCCTTGTGCAAGCCCACCGGTGCCTGCTGGACAAGTTGCAAGGCAAAAGAATGTCTTCTGGGTGTTCAAGAACGTCAAGCCCAAGACACCATTTACTTTCGAGAGCCAAATGAAGTACATTCTTCTACACAGCTGGCTGATGAACCTGGTCATGCCCTGCTGCGCCGTGGGCCTCGTTCTGTACCAGACATCTGGCAAATCCACTGCCAGCTTTGTCGTCAATTTTCTCGCCACGCTTCCCGCCAACTTCCTCGGAAACCTCGCCATGACAGAAATCGGACTGCGAATCGGGCCATTGCTCGCAGACTGGATGTCCATGACAACCGGGTGAGCATCACCATCCACCACAGAAGGAAGAAGCAATGTGGCACTGACCTTTTTTTTTTTTTGGCTTGACGTTAGGAATCTCATTCAGTTTATATCGTGTTTCGTCCTGCTCCGCGCGCATGAATATGACGTGCTTCAAACATCCATCACGGGCTCGATACTGGCAAACACGCTCTTCTTTCTCGGCCTCAGCACCTTTGTGGGCTGTTGCAACCGGCCGTACCAAAACCTGAACCGCACCGCAGCGCACATGGCGAGCAATCTTCTCTCCCTTTCAGCAACCAGTCTCCTCATACCCACGGCGTCCCACCTGCTCAATCAGGCCGAAGGGAGAGATCTCCTGAGGCAGTCGAGGGGCGTGTCCATCGTGCTGCTTGTCGTGTACGGCTGCTTTGTGTTCTGCGAGCACTGGACACACTGGGAGATATTCTCGCGAGAAGTGCCAGACGTGCCCGCCAGGCCATTCCCCTTCAACCCTATGTCGTACTACCGGTCGTCCCGCACTCTGGCGCACAGCGACACGCCAACGGAGGCAAAAGAGGAGGGCCCCATCAGTGCTGCCGGCCAAGTTTGCTCCGCATCACCAACCTCTCAGGCACACGGCGGCGGCGGCGAGAGTGTGCCGGATGAAAATGAGCCCCGTCTTCATCTGCTCACTGCCATCGTGCTCCTCGCAGGGAGCACAGCGCTTCTCTACTTCCACATCGACTACTCGGTGCACAGCATCGACGCCCTCACCAGCGCCATTCACCTGTCCAAGACGTTTGTGGGCCTCGTTCTCTTCCCGCTGGCGAATGTGGACTACACCCCAATCATGCTGGCAATTGACGGCAAGCTGGGCCAAACCGTTACCCAGACGGTTGGGAAGAGCATCCAGACCGCCTTGTTGGTGATGCCTTTGAATGTGCTCATTGCCTGGGCCTGCGGCCTGGGCGAGGTGACTCTTGTCTTCAACGGCTTCGAGGTGATCAGCCTCTTTGCGGCCGTATTGCTGCTGAATGTGCTCATGGTGGACGCAAAGCTTCATTGGTAAGGTCTGCCTTGCATGTGACCCGCGGATGAGTGAGCTTGTGATGTGAGTTTCATGCTCAGGTTGGGCTGACAATTCGACAGGGTGCAGGGCATCTTGCTCATGGCCGACTGGGCGCTCATCGCCATCGCGGCCTACTTTGCTACAAAAACAAAGGAGTAACAGGTCCGAGAGGACCACAATTACTAAAGAAGTACGGAGCACACTTTCGCCGCATTCATGCTTCAGTTTGTGGGTACTTGGGCACTGGCAAATGTCCGGCAGTCAACCGAAAGCAGTTCGTCGTAATGCAACCAATGATGCATTGCGGTTTGTTGTACACCTACCCTGTACTAACGCAAACTTGGCTTCTTCTCCAGGGCACACTCACATGGCACAGGGCAAAAGGCATCAATTCACTTGTGCGTTGAGCAGACGGCGGGAAAGGTGTAGCCTACTATGGGGTCGGAGAGCGTGTGACGACAATGCACAGGCTTCACACTCGAACTGGATGAACTATGCAGCGGACATGATACTGTGCTGCGGGTTCGGCAATATCAACAGATTGTGTATCCAGTCGAGGCAACCGCTGGCGGCACGTGCTTTCTGATTTCGTGCAACGACGAGACATAATATGCTGAAGAGACAGCCGCATAAAGCACATGACCAGCCAAATAACTACTAGAGCACGTACTCCGTAGTCATAAGCATTCGGTCCTCTCCTGTACATAATTCTACACTCGCCGGCAATAAGCCTTTGTCCAAGTAGGTTCTCAACAACGCCATGGGGTAGGGGTTGTCATAATGAGGGTCAGGGTTATTGATTGGGTGGAGGTTCCTAATCAGGCTAGCTTGGAACGAGGATATTAGCTCCTACTGTAATAAAAACCCAATTACTATGATTATGCAAGGTAGCCTGAGAAATTTAGCATGAAGTTCATATACTACGATAATTCAAAATGAAATGAATAAAAGGATAAACTAGCTTCTGGCGTGTATTTTTTTTTATACTAGTCAGCTAGTGCGTCTGACGCATCGCGATGCGATCACAGTGTATCGCGTGGTAAGTTACGGTTCCCTAGCCCAGGTACGGCTAAAATACAGTGTTATTGGATGTCCTGCATTTAGCCCTTTTTTTCATTTCATTTTTTTTTAGTCAACTTGATTAATGGAACTCTTCATCACCTGAATTTACATTAAAAGCCCAAATATGGCCCATAAGATGTTATGCGTTGGCATTGAGTGACCTTGAAGAGGATCAAAGACTTCCAGTCATGTCATGACCCCCCACCGTAACGCCCTGGGCAATGACGCATCGCCATCCCTGACCAGCGCAAGTCATCTCGAATGTACTCCGTAAGTTTGCCCGTCGTCGGGTCACCGTTTGGATGCTAAAGCGTTCGGCGGACCATCCTGTCGACTGCCCTCGACTGCCCGGGCTGTCGCGCCAACCTTGTCGAGGGCTGCCTTGTCGTCTGATGTTGCTGCCAGAGAGTTCCATTTCCCAAGACGGCTGCGCAGTTGAATCACCCCGCCTGCTCAACCTTCCCTGCGCACGGATGGCAAGCGCCGAACTTGCCGCCCTCTTTAAGGAATTTTCTTCTTGGTGATAATTACGAGTTCCACGGTTGGCCAAGTTTGGTACAAGCCGAACGAGGGACGGAAATGCCAGTGACCAGAACTTTTGTGCCCAGGGCGGGATCCAAATGACGCGATGGGTCGCTGGCTAGGCCGTTCTGCCATGTCGTCTTTCTGCGAGATGGCAGAAAATCCAGCGCCAGGTATGAGTTCGCAGGGACGAGTAGATGAAGTGGAACGTTGCTCGACTGCGGTGTGGTCTACAAGCCATCAAGGGGCTGGCCAGACTGACAGAATTAGAGTTTGCTGCCAAGAGGGCTGGCTCCTGGAATCCATCTCCCTTGTAAGTCACAACTTATTACTCGACGACAGATCCGGACCGAACCCTGCCAGTCTTGCCGCGGAATGCGACGCAGGGCAGGGCGGATGGGTAACGGGGGGCGGTTAACAGGGCAGGCTATCAGACCAATACAACTCTGGAAAAGGAGAGCGCCTGAGACTGGGGGCGTTGGAGAGCAATTGCTACATCGAGTTGGAGACGTGGTGGTTTGGCCTCGAGTATACGTCGGTCTGGATAGTGGTAGAGAAGATCGACGGATCTGCGACTATCTGTCCACCAGTTCGCCCACCTTGGTCAAGTTTCATTTACAAGAAAACTATCCGAGGGTCAAAAAACAAAGACGTTTACAGAATTGCATGGCAGAGGGCGGGTGTTGAGACTGCGGCATAATAAAATCGCACCTGAACCTGACACAACACGGCGGCTACAGGAAATGTCGCCCCAAGGGAGAAGACGCGAAAAAAAAAAAAAAGACAAGGAGCAGATAGAATCCAGAGATCATCTCCGGAAATTCTCCACGACCAAATGAGAATGAGGTCCCCCATAGCACACCACCATCAGCTGCCATGTGTCGCCGGGCTCAACCTTGGACAGCTTTCGTGGGTTGCTTTGGCGCACACATGAAGGGTCCTTGGCCAACGCATCACATTGCAAGGTACAATGCCCCACTGGGAAATAGTATGATGGTAGAAGTACCGACGCCATTCCCGATTGCCTCTGTAAGCGGCTTCATTTGGATCTTTGACCCAGCCCTGATAAGCGTAGCAATGGGCCCTTTCCCCTCAATGATACGAGTAGATACCGTGATACCGGCTGCTGGCTCCAGCCCTTGTAAGCTGACTTAAGCAGCTGACCTTGTTTCCAAAGAGGTCAACTGGTACGGAGTACCTGCTTGGGATGGCAGAAAGTCTGGGACCTTGACACATCCAGAGGGGATACTGTTTGGTACAATGGGCGTTGGTGAGACGGTATTAGTTTCAGATCTCGTCTCATGGTGCCTCTTGTCACCCGTGGAGAAGTGACCATTCTTGTGCCTGGATTGCTGTGGCTCTTTGTCCGCCGATTCAAGCGGCAGCCTCCGCACCATGACAGACCGACCATCCCATGCCACGGGCCCATCGTCGCCGCCCGTTGTCGAATGCGCACCGACGTGAACTTGCAGAATCGAAAATTCCCACGTCGTTGAACAAAGAGCACGGAGATCATCAGGTGGCGTGTTGTGCCAGCCCTCGCCGATGCAGAAATGCAAAGCATGGCCATGTGGTGCCAGGCTCGCGTGGATGAACCGAACTGGGGAGAGGGAAAGAGTGGAGTATTCCACCAGAGGAAGGACCAACCAGACATTGAACAGACGGGCACTGGGAACTTTTGCTACCGGGGTGTTGCCAGAGAAGGCACAGCTAGAGGCAATGGGCACATACTTGTTGCCACGCTAGAGAAGATGCAGTGGACGAATTGGGTGGCACCAGCCTCGATCGCGATACTCTTCCATGTCACTAGAGTTCATCCCTATGCGCCTATGCCTAGCCTGACACATTTCTCGTCCCGCCCACGCAACGACCGTCTCCAGAACCGCGCAAGGTTACCCCCTCCAGACAAAGACAGACAAACCTGTCAAATTCCAATGTATACTCGGCGACCCGTGGTGGGTGAAGCAATTAAGGGGGTTGGCGGGCTGGCGGTACCAAACTCTCTCCGTCTTGGCTACCCAAACCGTCATCCGTAGTGTGCTAACAAGCCCTTCTTGGAATTTGCCCTTGACTCGAAGCCATAGTTCGTCTTGGGATGACAATCCGAACCGTCTCTTGGAATCATGCACAGGATGGAAAGGGGGGGTGGGCGGCAAGCATGGTGTCAAGAAGAACGCAAGTATATAAGTAGTTGGCAACCGGCAAGGCTTGCCGACCATTATCATCACCCTCATCGGTTTCTTTCTTTAACAACCAACTTTACAGTCTCTCCTTAAACACTGTGTTGATTTCTTTGCTTCTTTTATTCCTTCTTTCCTTCTTTTGGGTTTATACATCAACGTCGAACGTTGACATTTTGCTTTCCTGTCGCTCACTCAAGATGAAGGGTTTCTCGTATGCATTCGCGGTCCTCTCCGCGGCCTCTTTCGCTGCTGGACACATGGAGATGGTGTATCCCCCACCTCTGCAATCGCGTCACAACAAATTCTCTACCGACATAAATTACGACATAAAGAGTCCCATGAAGTCGGACGGCAGCAACTTCCCCTGCGGCGGCGCCCTGAAGGTTCTCAATTCTCCTCAGGGCAAGCCCGTTGATGAATGGAATGCTGGCGAGGAGTACTCTTTCAAAATCGCCGGACAGGCATACCACTCGGGAGGAAGTTGCCAGGCCAGTCTCTCATACGACAACGGCACCACTTACAAGGTGATTAAATCCTATGAGGGCAACTGCCCCCTCTCCAATGGCGAGACCAGTTACAAGTTTGAAGTACCCTCGGACGCCCGCGACGGCGACTGCATATTCTCCTGGAGTTGGTTCAACAAGGTGGGAAACCGCGAGATGTACCAGAACTGTGCCGTCGTCACCATCAAGGCCGCTCAGGGCCGCAAGAAGCGTGGCACTGCCGTGTCCATGAGCCAGCGTCCCGACATGTTCGTCGCCAACGTTGGCAACGGCTGCTCGACTACCGGGGGAACCGACGTTGAATTTCCCCAACCCGGCCCAGACGTTGACAGAGCCCAGGGCGCCAAGCTTCAAGGACCCTCTGGAGAAAAATGCCAGAAGCCGGCTCCTGGCGGTGACAAGCCGACTGCGCCATCACCCAGCGCCTCATCTACGCCTGCTCCTACCAGTGTCAAGCCGACTATCTCATCTCCCAGCACGCCTGCTCCTACCAGTGACAAGCCGACTATCCCATCTCCCAGCACCCCGTCTAAGCCGGTTCCTGGTGGTGACAAGCCGACTTCTACTCCCTCCGAGCCCTCGCCTCCGTCCTGCACTGGCGGCAAGTTCCCCGACGAACAAAACAAGCCAGCTCAGCCTCCATCCGGCAATAACACCACGAGCGGCGTCACGAAGCCGACAATGTCCCCGGCTCATCCATCTGGCGACGAGACCACTTCTGTGTCGGCCCCTCCCGTCCAGCCTGAGCCTACTTCTGTTCCCACTCCCGGCGGCGACAACGACGTCTGCACCCCAGGTGCCTTTGCCTGCGCTCCTAACAACTCGGGTTGGAGAGTCTGCGATGGAATACAGGGCTGGGTGGTAAGTCTTTCCCTCTCGAACTCTTTTTTGTGATGCGTATGTCTGGAATGACGCTGACGGATGTAATTAGCTCGCAGGTGCTTGCCCCCAGGGAACTGCCTGCCAGTTCGACAAGTCAAACAACACGCCTTACTGCCGTTAAAGCGTGTAGTTCTTCCAAAGATACCCTCGAGAGCTTGCTCAGGAGGCGGCCCTTGAACAAGGCCTTGTACACGATTGTAGGCTAGGGGGGGGGCCGTATTTGGCTACATTTTACACTCGAAGTGTTGTGTATTTATCATCATGCTCTAATGACAACCTGATGTATAGGGAGAGCACTTTTACGATTCAGCAATTTCATTCGACTGTTGGGTGCAGTGCATTCTGACAGGACAATGCTAGGTTTTATACAAAATTCTACTTTCTGCCATTACGGCGTTGTCATTCTCGGCGATTTGCATGTGTGTCACTATGTAGTCGTAGAGCATGCCGGTGTGTGTGCGAGCACACGTTGGTTATTGTACGCCCCTGTGTCTCAAGGGTTTTATTTCCGGATTCGGACGCCCGAACAGACTATAGCAGAGCATCGTGGAATACAATTACATGTCAATTTGTGCGTACCTGGGCAACATGGCCCCGTGGCACTGGGAAACGCCACAATGTCACTTATTGGTCAGGCCCTGCGCTGGGGGACAAAGCCCAAGCCTCACTTGTGCTGACGACTCCTCAATGCCGCAGCCTTAAACAAGCGGGCAGCATTCCATTGCGCAGCAAGCAAACCCTGCCACCTGGTGCTCCCAGGTGCCGTTGGATACGAGCAACGACGTCCCACGAGATGCCAGATGTCGTCAGCCCGGCCCGAAATCCTGCTCAGCCCAGAGGTGTGACCTAGAAAAAACAACAAAAAAAAGAAAGGCAAAGTGAGAAGACCTCCCCCCTTTTATCCAACTTGCGTCTCTCATCCCATCTCCACATCCTCGCGCACCATCCCTACGTCATTTTGGCACTGGAGCTTCAACCACCAGCGACATTTTGCCCTCAACCGACAGATGGAGCCGCTCAACCAGCTCAAGCGTCGGTCGACCGACCTCTTCAAGCAAGCACAGCAGAACATGGCGTCGCTCCCCAAGGGCATCAACATGGACATGGCCGCCGTGCCCGGGCTGCCGCACCTGCAAAAGAAGCTGCCGTCCCTGTCGCAGCTCAGCTTCAAGAATGGCGACGCCGCCGCGCAGGGAACGTGGCAGCGGATCGACATTCCAGCCCTGCCGCGGTCCTCGCACTCGGTCAATGTCGTTTCCGGGAGCGCCTACATCTTTGGCGGCGAGATGGAGCCGCGACAACCAGTCGACAACGACATGCACATCATTCGACTGCCGTCCAGCAGCGCCGGGGCCGACTACCACCGGGTCGAGGCCAGGGCGGCCGCGCCGGAGCAGACGACGACGAATCTAGACGAGGCGGCCCTGGAAGAAGGAGGCGAAGAAGGGGAAGGGCCCGAGGGCAAGGGCAAGGAGACGGCGACGGACGCCAGGCCCGGGCTCGGCGGCGTGCCGGCGCCGC